TTATAGGACCTAGAACGTGTTATAGGACCTAACCCACATTCACTACGTATTCTCAGACCTTACCTAGGGTATATGTTTTCCTGTCCTGTTCATATTACCAACGTTTCGGCTCAGGTTACACATTGTTACCTGCCCATAGGGTTCAATGAAGTACACCTGGAAAGCCCCTTCTGACGGTTGCACTGTGTTTGTGTCTGTCATTACCGATGCGTGCGTACGTGTGCGTGCCTGTATGTGCGTTTATTATTGTGGGTGTTTGGCTGAGTATGCGCGTGACTGGCAAAAACCGATTACTTTTATCTGGACCAGTACTGGGCCTCCCCTAGGTCGACTCAGCCTCAAATTAATACCTGGTGCAGTGTGTAACACACTGCCACTAGGGAGACAAATGTGGTCGGGCATAGTGCTGTCCACCCACTTCCTCGTGTACCGTGCAGCCTTCACAAGTGCTCGCTAACAGCACTTGCCCCAACAGTCTGTTAAGGCTCTAGGGGGGATTATTGTTTTTGTTTGAAGACTTTGTATTTAAGGTGGGGAGCGGTAATGTTGCGGTGAGCGATGCACTACAAACCCGGCGACTCTCGACCCTAGTTCGATTCCCGCTTCCGACCAATACCAGTGACGATTATCTGAACTGATCCTGGGTCTCCCCAAGGTCAACTTAGCCTGAGTATATGGTGTGGTGTGTAAATATCGCCATTACAAAGGCGGCCGGGCATGTTGCTGGCCACCCACCCCCTCGCTGTTCCGGAGGATGTGAATGTGTATTTGTACATCTTGCTGCGTCTGTCAAGTCATCTAGGTCATTCAACTCATGGCACATAACTGGGTCTGTTCCGTCACCTGACAGCAATGTCTTCCACGCTTCACGTGGCCTCAAGGTGCACCGAGCCTGGCACAAGCGCCGTGGTGATGTCACCGGCACTTCGTGGAATACGGCGATTTTTGTGTGTATGCAATCTCAAATTATTACCTGGTGTGGTGTGGTGCTAGCCACCCTCCCCTTCGAGTGTCGTACTGGCCTTCATAGGGACTCACTAACAGCGCATACCCCAATAATAGGTTAAGGCTATATGGGGGATTTTTGGGTTTGCATGCACATGTGGCCAGCAGACTTACACATTGTTACAGTATTTAGCTCCTGAACATGTTGCCACAGGCAACAATAGAATAGCCTAAATAAGTAGCTGGTGCAGTGTGTAAACATTGGCGCAAGGGAGACAAATGCGGCCGTGCATGGTGCTGGCCACCCACCCCTTCGTGTGCTGTGCTGCCATTAATAGGTCCTCGCTAACTTGACCCACAACATGCCTTTTTGGAAATGTTGCCTCTGTATAAGGAAATAGTTCCGGGCTAATAGAAACAAACCTACTCCACGAACTAATGTAAGGCTGAGTCGATCTAGGGAAGGCCCATAACTGATTCTGACATTACTCGACGCCGGGAGTCGAACTCTGGTTACCCGTGGTTTTGTAACACAGTGTGCTAACCACTATGCCACCGTCCCCCACGCTGCAGACACACACACACGTGTGATCCCGTCTCTAGCCTTGTCCCAATTTTAGGGGAAAGTATCTGATGTATGCCGTTACCAGTAATGGTGAAGATCGCGTCGTGAATCCGACCATACTCGTTTGTCGCGCCCGTACCAAAAATTTACAATAAAAAGTCCCAGACTATTCGTATCACACTCGGCACGTACCCAGACTAGTTTGTGGGTGGATGTATTATATACACACAATATATAGAAAGGGGGTTTTGCAGTCCCTTTTTTCACAGAAGAATGTCACATTCTCTACGGAGGGTATATTAACATATTTAGTGTGTTTATAGCCCATTGAAAGTGAGAATTCAGAGAACTTACTCCACACGTCTAGATAAAAGGCACGAATTGGGGGATTTTTACAGGCGAAATGTATCAGATCATCGAGATAGGGTGACGCCTATCGCAATTTGTCTTGCTTTCCATTCAAGTTAAGTTTAAAACAACACAAAGACGTATAATTCCACGCCATGGATATTATGGTTTCATCAGCAGCAGTCATGGTCAATCCACTGCTGGATGAAGGCCTACTCAAGCCGCAGGCGAACATGGCGATCCTGCAATGCAATGATTAATTCACTTATTGGGGTAAATGTACTGTATAAAAACTGGTTACTTAGAGACGCTGTCATTTTTCGTTGGTCGCACATGTCTGTGATTGCGTGCTTTGGAGGCAAGGGTTGGTGGATCACGTGGATGGTGGTGCTGGTCCTAGCAAATCGGGGGTCCGAAACAGGAATTAATTGTGCAGACCCCTCGTTGAAATATATAATCTACTAGCGAGAAGACAGAAAATGTATAGTAGATATCGTTGATAAATAAGGTAACAGAAATGTAGACATATAAACGCGGTGAGATAAGTTAGATACAGACAAAAGCTAGAAATTAAAGAGAATAAATCGATTTGAATTTGAGCTCACATTTGCTGTCCCCTATTTTTTCTTTGAGTCCTCGGCCTCGTGAGCTGCTTGAGGCTCTTAGCGTTTGCCTGGGGTGCCGATGCGTATAGCTGTGCCACGTGCCTCCATCAGTCTCGAGACTGCTCTTCCAGTGAGTCAGGTATTGGGGAGTGTTTGGCCAAGACAATTTTCAAGCACATGAAGCCAAACTACCCGGGTATGAGAGGAGGGTGTTGGTCTTGAGGCAGGCTGGTCTTTGTCATAATAGACTCTCTCAATCTAAGCACCAGTGCTTAATTCCAGTCGGAATAGTCCGCACCTCTGTTCCGGGAATTATGTTTCTGACATGTCACAGCAATCTCGCCCTATTTTAATTCCCATGGTAGGTATTGTGGCGATGTGTGCAGTGGGGGTGCAAACGCGTGATTAGGGGCCGTCCATAAATGACGTCACGCGATTTTGGACGATTTTTGACCCCCCCCCCCACCTCGTCTTACGGCGTCACAAAAAGTCAGACCCCCCTCAAATATGACGTCACAAAGCTCTGCGCCCCCCCCTCCCAAAACCATATTTCCATTTTAAAAAGAAAACATGCTTCAAATCGCTTTAAACTATCGTCATTGTAGTGCGTATCTCTGTATCGTCATATCGTGGCGTCCCTAATTCTCATGAAGATTTAATGTGAATGTGTGGGGTGACTACGGTGCATTTGCGGTTGGAAGTGTTTCCTTATTTTCAACAGCGTTGCAAGGGGGCAACCCCCTGAGTAGGTTTACATATCACAGCCGTTGAAAACAGATCCCATGGAGAGGTCTGCATTGTCACAGCAGGTCAATTCAGATTCAATGAATGGACAGGTCTGCATGGTCACGGCAGACGAAGTCAAATCTAATGGGCATCTAATTCGTGGTCAAAGAAGATCAAATCAGATAGAATAGATCCAATCTGAGGGGTTTTTATTGCACATTTTGTTCCGGAATCTGCTAATTTGACCACAACCAGGGAGAAATTAGGCGTTAGATGTAATCAAATTAGGTTTTGAGAATAAAACAGGAAGACATCTACGAACAGCACATTGAACCAAATACCACATTTTACATGTAGACTTTAACGACCAATATCACGATTCATAATTAGTTTATTTTGGTTTAGTTCGTGTCGTTATGAAGTTACATTGTTTGACTTTAACCCTCCACCACTCTACAGATCAAATCTAATAAAGTTGTAACGTAGGCAAATACTGTATGCCATTGTTTGTCGGCAAAGCAGAATGTCAAAACCCACAATTGCGGGCACATTTTGACCACATGTGCTCTCAAGCATACTCTTTGGTTCTTTCGGTAAAGTCACGTAGGTGAAAAAATAAAAATAAATAAATTAAGTCACGACGTTTCGGGCGCAACACAAGCGCCCGTCATCAGGTGTGAACAACCACAGCAAGACACACTTGCTGAAGTAGGCAAAAAGCTGCTAGTAACAAAGGATTATATAGATGAGGGAGGGGGTGCCAGGGATAGAGAGAGTGGGGGTGGGGGGCATGGGTCAGAGGAGAGTGGGATGCTGAAGCACGGTAAATTTACAAGAGACTGGAATGAGCCGGGATGGGCATAAGAAACTGGAATTGTGGGTATGAAGGCCAACTATAGAGCAGCTAAGTTTTTACATGGTTAATAACTTCCTTCCAATGATTGCTCAATTTGTATCCATCTTCTCGATTGAAGTTATGTCTATGTTTATATATCTGGATGGCTTCATGAACAAACCTTTGATAGTAGCCAGACGGTTTCCAAAGCACTTTGGTCTCGGAAAAAACAATATCATGGGAGCCCACAGCGTTATAATAATGGTCAGCAACTGCGGAAGAATTAGTCCTGCCATGTTTCAAATCTGACTTGTGCTCGCGTACACGGTCGGAGACATGACGTTTCGTTTCCCCAATGTAACAATCACCACAGATGCAACTTAGTTCTCAAGCATCTCGGATAAAGTGTGAAAAACAAAAGTCAATGACGGAATCTTGCGGGTGAGTGATGTGTTAGTCCCATTTACGGGAAGCCGATGAGTAACGAAGCAGCGTAACTAGAGACATAACGTGGGCATTGAATTGGTGATGGTCTGTACTATCGTGCTGTGGTTCTCAACCGGGGGTACGCGGACTTGGGGGGGGGGGCAATGCCCCAGGGGGGACACGAGGGGATTATTAAATGTGTGAAATAATTTCATACATGCGAATCACTAGTGAATAATTATGTATGAATCTGGCAATATAGAATAACTACGATAACATTTTAACCCATATGGTAACCTACAGCGATACCAAAGACCTTTATAAAACTCGTTGATCGTAAACAATGTGGTTTCCAAGAGTAAGCAACGCAGCGCAAACAAATTACGTCACGCATGCTGAGCGTCCGTTGATTTTTTTTTGTATGCTCTTGCAGTTACTAGCTGGTTGGGATACGTCACAAAAATGACAATTGGTTAAAATATTGTTGTTCATTATTGTGTGTTTGCGATTTGACCCCCTCCCGCCCCATTGAGGAGGCACGCAGTATTGCATCGCTATAGGGCATCCACAACAGTCACTTCTCGAAGAGGAAATGATACCAATGTGAAAGCACTAAGAGTCACCACCCACTCGTTACCAAGTCAGTTGTCAGCTCGACTCCGTCTTATGCTAACGCTCAACTCACACCGACGGTGCAAGGTATGTGTTGCATCTTGTGCTGGATACAGTCACATTCGCAAAATGTGATTTGTAACTTTGATCCTTACCTGTGTATCGATAGTTCAATGTTAAATTGACATTTTATCTTGGTGTGGTCCTGGACTGTTTTTGTTGTTGCTTTGCTGCCTTGCCCAAGCGTGTTAAATCGGACCTATATAATGAAAGCAAGTATTATATATTTATATTTAGTGACTTGCTTACCATTTTCTCTATTTTACACTCCTATAGTTTTCCTATTGTTTGCTCTTGTAACTTGCTGACCCGCCCATACTAGACATCTGTGAAAAGGATATCCATAGCTCATCGGATTCCTCCAGTCCAAATAAAGATTCTGATTGCAACTGTCGCTCATTGTGCCCTTCCTGCTTAAATAAATACAATCTAAACTAATAACGTTTCACCACAACGTGTTCTGCGTACAATTCTACAGAAAGAGGGTTTTGTAATTGACGGGTGCAGTCATGGGCAAAGACAAAAAGGCTCCTAGTCTGTTCTTAAACGGGGGAAGAGATTTGAGCGGCAGGGTGGCGAAGTGGTAACACTTGTGCCTTTACAGCAAGACGTCTCTGGGTTCGATTACCGACTCTGCGTGCATTGTGTACGTTCTCCCCTTCTGCATGGGTTTCTTTCGGGTTCTCCGCTTTTCATCTAGAGGTAAGAAAGCACAGAATGTTACTGGTGTTAACCAAACATCTCAATGCGAAACTAAGTACTGTACATGGAAATTTTCTCAATTTGGATTATGCACAGCAGCATCACCCCTCACTTGAAAACTTGGCAGGACTCTTAAACAAGAGACGTGAGACTCAGTGAGGTTTTTTCTGGATAAACAAGATTTATAATATTTAAAAAAATTCAATATTATATCCAGCAGGGACTTCTGAGTACAGACTACAAGGAGGAAAAGCAGAATGGGCGACCTACCACTCTGCAATTCCTAAAGCTGCCCTTAGTGTGCCGCTACGAGCAAATGGGCATTCAAATTGAATCCTAATCGACATGAATGTGCTTTAGTCTGGCCCTATGACATCGAGCATGAGCACTGAACCTGACGAATGGTCAGAGCGCTGAGCTGACAAAAACCGATATCCTGGGTTAAAACTGAGTGTCGTGAGTTGATAGGGCACAAATGACCGCACAGAAAAATGTCATTAAATATTTAGTTCTGCACTTAATTTGGCAAAATTTATAGGTCTGAGAATGTTGACAAACATTTTCTCCAGGAGGGCGAGTGGGAAGTTCCCTCCGACCCCGAGTTAGTGTGTGGATCAGACCTAATTTGAAGGGATATCAGAGGTATCTCAGTGTTATCTGCTTCCGTGGATCATTCTCTAACAGGAAAGGTTGCATTGGGACAAAAATACCAATAGATACGTCATCTCATGACAACATAAAGCAAATAATGTATTGCTGTGTGTGCAGTGTTGATCGTGTACAGATCGTGGCCACGTCATCATGAAGGCCTATTTGCCGCTTCTGTTGGTGCTGTGCCAGCTGATCCTGCCGTGTTACTCAAAAGTGGAAAAGGAAAAGCGAAGTATGGATGATTTTGATTGCATTCCTGCACAAAGAAGGATTTCAGACACACATGTTTCCTTCCACATGCACTTTTATCATCTCAGTTACCTCGTTAATAGCTGGAAAACTTAACACATTCGCTAATGCTAACTCGTTTAAGACTTAGCTTTGACGGCACCTTTGGCGCCATCTCGCTGCCGCTGCTGTCCCCGGTTGCCTTCATTTCGCTGCTATGAATTGATGATGCCGTAGTATGCATTCTGACAAGTCACTGGCATCTTGTAGACTGGATGAGATGAAGGTTCTGTACCAGATGGGATATTAAGTTTGAGCTTGAATTGCAGAGATGATCCCGTTTTGCCAGTTTCCTGGCTATTTTACCATGGAGATCCATGGTGGGTGAGCACAGCAAAATCACAAACTATAGACAAAAAACATCAATATTGCAGAGAACGAGTACAGGGTCCTTAAGGAATATAGCACCACGAACAAACGAGGTATTTCACAATGCAGAATATATATCATCTATAAATGGCAACATAGAAATAATATGTTAATTATTATATAAATTATATATTGAATAAGACTGGTTCTCTATCCAACAATGCAAGTGTAACGGGTTCCGGAGACACTTGTAGATGTAACTTCTTTATTACAATACAACACTCCAACAGTCCTGATACTCTGTTACAGCCTAGGTACACAGCCTAGCTACACAGCCTAGATACTCTAGATACTCTACTCTGGCTACGCTCGCCCTCACAAGGTCGTAGAGTCGGGAGTTCCAGAGTCCCACCACTGGCTCTCACAGCATCCCAGGGTCTTCAGATGGCTGGTCGTGGGTCTTGGGTCTTGGGTCTTGAGTTACAACTGGGCCCCGATCGTCCAGGGAGCTCTCCTTTTATGCCTGGTCCAACGAGGGGTGGGGCCGTGTGCGCCACCAGACATCCCACAGAGCACACACAGCCCCCCCCCTGTTGGCGGCGCCCAGGGGATTAAGCGCCTGGGAACTCAACGCCTGGCGCCCAGAGGCTTAAGCGTCTGGACCCCCTGGGAACCCAGCGCCTGGCGCCCAGAGGCTTAAGCGTCTGGACTCGCCTGGGATCCCAGAGCCCCCAGCAGCCCCTCCCTTCTTATGTCACTACACAAGTATAGAGTTCTAGATGACACATTACTATATTGGATAGGGCAATAGTTTTTTTTTATCAGATCAACGAGGATTCAGTCCCAGATGAGACATTACTTCTATATTTTATAAGACTACTAGCTGTACTACCCGGCTTCGCCCGGGACTTGTATCCACCACGGCCGGCCGCCTTTGTCTCCCCAGTGGCGATGTTAATACGCCACACCAGTTACTCGTTTTGCGGCTGAGTCCCTCCCTCACCACTCTCCCTCCCTCAACACTGTCCCTCCCTCACCACTCTCCCTCCCTCACCACTCTCCCTCCCTCACCACTCTCCCTCCCTCACCACTGACGCACGGCCGCCTTTGTCTCCCCAGTGGCGATGTTAATACGCCACACCAGTTACTCGTTTGAGGCTGAGTCGACCTAGGGGAGGTTCAAATAATCGTCACCGGTGGTGGCCGTGAGCGGGAATGGAACTCGGTTCGCCGGGTTTGTAGCGCAGCGTAGCGTTAACCACTACACCCACCGCTCCTCACACACCACACACGCACAGACACACACACAGACACACGCAGACACACACAGACAGACACACACACACAGACACACAGACAGCACTCTAACCACTACACTACCGCTCCCCACACACCACACACGCACACACACAGACACACACACAGACACACACACACAGACACACACACACAGACACACACACACAGACACAGACAGCACGCTAAGCACTACACTACCGTTCCCCCTACACAACACACGCGCGCGCGTCCATAGGTACACATACACGCGCTTGCTGCAGACACACACGACTGTCAGGGTGCGTACGACAGTAAACGACTGAAAAAAGAAAGCGGCAATGCTGCGCGAGGAACGCCTTAGACCTGCAACACATTTGTGTAATGCGAGCGTAAACACACAAACACATACAAACACATACACACACATACATACACACACATACACACAAACACATACACACACATACACACACATACATACACACAGACATACACATACACACAAACACACACATACATACACACAAAAACATAGACAATACACACACACATACATGCAGACACACAGACAGACACATAACACACATACATACACACACATACATACACATAAACACATCCACAGACGTACATACACACATACATACAGACACGCAGACATACACATAAACACATACAAAAAAACCCACATACATACACACACACATACACACAAACACATACACACACATACATACACACATGCATACAGACACACAGACATACACAAACATATACACACATACACATGACCCGGCTTCGCCCGGGACTTGGATCCACCACGCCCGGCCGCCTTTGTCTCCCCAGTGCCGATGTTAATACGCCACACCAGTTACTCGTTTGAGGCTGAGTCGACCTAGGGGAGGTTCAAATAATCGTCACCGGTGGTGGCCGTGAGCGGGAATGGAACTCGGTTCGCCGGGTTTGTAGCGCAGCGTAGCGTTAACCACTACACCCACCGCTCCTCACACACCACACACGCACAGACACACACACAGACACACACACAGACACACGCAGACACACACAGACAGACACAGACAGACACACACACACACACAGACACACAGACAGCACGCTAAGCACTACACTACCGCTCCCCACACACCACACACAGACACACACACAGACACACACACACAGACACACACACACAGACACAGACAGCACGCTAAGCACTACACTACCGTTCCCCCTACACAACACACGCGCGCGCGTCCATAGGTACACATACACGCGCTTGCTGCAGACACACACGACTGTCAGGGTGCGTACGACAGTAAACGACTGAAAAAAGAAAGCGGCAATGCTGCGCGAGGAACGCCTTAGACCTGCAACACATTTGTGTAATGCGAGCGTAAACACACAAACACATACAAACACATACACACACATACATACACACACATACACACAAACACATACACACACATACACACACATACACACAGACATACACATACACACAAACACACACATACATACACACAAAAACATAGACAATACACACACACATACATGCAGACACACAGACAGACACATAACACACATACATACACACACATACATACACATAAACACATCCACAGACGTACATACACACATACATACAGACACGCAGACATACACATAAACACATACAAAAAAACCCACATACATACACACACACATACACACAAACACATACACACACATACATACACACATGCATACAGACACACAGACATACACAAACATATACACACATACACATGACCCGGCTTCGCCCGGGACTTGGATCCACCACGCCCGGCCGCCTTTGTCTCCCCAGTGCCGATGTTAATACGCCACACCAGTTACTCGTTTGAGGCTGAGTCGACCTAGGGGAGGTTCAAATAATCGTCACCGGTGGTGGCCGTGAGCGGGAATCGAACTCGGTTCGCCGGGTTGGTAGCGCAGCGTAGCGTTAAGCACTACACCCACCGCTCCTCACACACCACACACGCACAGACACACACACAGACACACACACAGACACACGCAGACACACACAGACAGACACAGACAGACACACACACACACAGACACACAGACAGCACGCTAAGCACTACACTACCGCTCCCCACACACCACACACAGACACACACACAGACACACACACACAGACACACACACACAGACACAGACAGCACGCTAAGCACTACACTACCGTTCCCCCTACACAACACACGCGCGCGCGTCCATAGGTACACATACACGCGCTTGCTGCAGACACACACGACTTTCAGGGTGCGCACGGCAGTAAACGACTGCAATAATAAAGCGGCAATGCTGTGCGAGGAACGCCTTAGACCTGCAAGACATTTGTGTAATGCGAGCGTAAACACACAAACACATACAAACACATACACACACATACATACACACACATACACACACATACACACACATACATACACACAGACATACACATACACACAAACACACACATACATACACACAAACACATACACAATACACACAGACATACATGCAGACACACAGAGACACACATAACACACATACATACACACACATACATACACAGAAACACATACACACACACATACATACACACATACATACACACAAACACATACACACACGTACATACACACATACATACAGATACACAGGCATAGACATAAACACATAAAAAACCCACATACATACACACACAGACATACACACAAACACATACACACACATACATACACACATACATACACAGAGACAAACACATACACACAAACACACACATACATACACACAAACACATACACAATACACACACACATACATGCAGACACACAGACACACACATAACACACATACGTACACACGCATACATACACAGAAACACATACACACACATACATACACACACACATACACACAAACACATACACACACATACATACACACATACATAGAGACACACAGACATACACATAAACACATACACACATACACATGACCCGGCTTCGCCCAGGACTTGGATCCACGATGGCCGGCCGCCTTTGTCTCCCCAGTGACGATGTTCACACACGACAGCAGTTACGCGTTTGAGGCTGAGTCGACCTAGGGGAGGCCCAGGTCCGTTTCAAATAATCGTCAGCGGTGGTGGGCGTGAGTTGGAATGGAACTGGGGTCGCTCAACCAGCTTAATGACTATTTGTACAAAGAACATATAAAGAATCGATTATAATAACCAGGCTACAGTCCACATTATAGACTGGCAGTACACGCACTCAGCTTCATAAGCAGGCTAGAGTGTACATGATAGAGTGGCAGTACGCTCACCGAGTTTAATAAGCAGGCTACAGTCTACATGATAGACTGGCAGTACGCTGACCCAGCTTAATGACTATTTGTACAGTGAACATTTAAGTAATCGATTGTTGGCGCGTTGGGTTTAAAAGTAATATAAATTGCACACATTGTGGTGGGGGTGGAGTGAATAGTAGGAAAAACTTTGATGAATTTACCTCAGAGTGGCGTGGTGGGTGTCGAGGCCTAGTAGCGTGCAGAGCCTGCGGCCTCGCCAAAATTGTCCAGTCGGCAAAGGCAGGGTACGGGTGGCGTGCCTTCCCCCCCCCCTCAGCGCTCCAACAATACTGTGTAATGGCTATTATTTAATTATTTACGGAGCCTATGAAAGTGGCGAAGGCGTGGCTAGCCGTTGGCAGGGGCAACTGCCGTCCAATGAAACTGCAGCCCTTGGCGAAGGCGTCGCTAGCCGTTGCCAGGTCCAATGAAAGCGGCGAAGGCGTCGCTAGCCGTTGCCAGGGGCAACCGCCGTCCAATGAAAGTGCGTATGGTCCGAAATCCACACAGACAGACAGACATACACGATTTTATATATATAGATGGTTCTCTACCGATTGAGACAGTTATGTATCGGGTAAGACCAGATGAGACATTGCGCATCAGATAAGACAAGGGGTCTCGAAGACTATTGACTGCGTCAGTGGTAAAGCTAAAATTATCTTGCAATGGGAATCTTTCAGCTTTAACCCCGTGCCATATCCATTGTAGTCTACAACTTCACTTCCCCACTACGAATAACAAACACATCGACATATTGTGGCAGTCTCTATGTGGATACACATGTGTACATAATTTGCATGCAAGGGTGTATGCATAGTGAAAATATGGTTTTGGGTGCGAGCCACCATGATACAATATAGTCGCGCTCACTTCATCTCCCTGTATGTATATATGTTGAACTTATTTCGCACCGTATGTAGCCTACCGTGCTAATCGGAGGTGTAGGGGAAGGAAAATAAACTATACACGAAAAGCAGTTGTATATGAATTAGTTTTCAAACAGAAATGACATTTTCAAATATCCTCATGCTGGTATCTCAGCATTGCTAATTAAGAAAACTATGGATACATTTATGTCTGGTTTAAACAAACATGCATGCCTTGAAGTTCAATAGGTCAAACAAACTGCATTATATTCAGTGTTGGTTTCACAAAGGGATGCAAATTAGCGCAGTATAACATTTTTGCACTATTTCTATTCGGAGTCCGTGAAGGTATAATTCTTTTTTGTTGCATTACAATTGGGAATAATTTTGAGCTGTGTGCTTCAAAGGTTGGTGATGTATTACATGCTTAAGATTTTAAACCATATATATCAGGTGATCATCAGTAGCACATAGCAGAAGCATTCAAAGAAATTGTGCTTGAGATGCTGACCAATACCTCGATGCAATGTTCGTTTCCATCTTCATGGCAAACATTTCCCATGGTAAACATTTAACATGAAGATGGATAATAATATCCCGTGAGTCAAAATTACATATAGATGCCAACTGTATGTTTCACCCAACCGCCTCACCATGTCATTTCCTTGTGTGTCCGTGTGTTTCGTGTGTTTGTTTGCATGTGTGTTTAGAGTTCACAGATAAACAGGTGCAGGACAAATGCAAGTTTTCCCTGGAGGAAATCCACGGTATAAGCTCAAGTTACACAATAGGCACCAGGTTCTGACGCATCAATCCATTCTGCATATCATTGCATTTGCTTTTCTTTATAGCCCCGCTCTATCTCCCAGCTCTCTCATGCTACCCTTCTCTTTTGTCTTGGGACCGACAGACGTGCTAACCCAAAAGGATTGTTCGAAGTATTACAGAACAATCCGAAAATCCACAATTCGGTAATCCCTGAAGCCCTGAAATTCGTGGATTACTGCACCCGTAATCCGCGGGACACCGTGGCGGGTAAAAAAAAAGCTTTTCGGAGTTACAAACTGCGATGCTTAGAAGTGAGCAGGGCTAACACAGAGCTACGGCATTTGAGCTGCAGGGAAATACTAAGGGAAATACCGAAAGAACCAAGAATAGGAAATACAAAGGTTTTTATTATATTTGGCAATCTACATTATTTTGGTTTGCATCTGCACAGGCTAGCTGTGTTGACCTGAATTGTTTCGTAGATAAGATTTTGTTTGCATTTTTTTTATTTAGACACCAAGGCAAAACAATGCATAGCATTCTTTAACGTTCACCCATATGACAAATTTGCCCAATTTGGGTCTAAGTAAAATCTATGTCTTAATCTGCAAATTTATCGCAAAATACATTAGCCGGTAGTCACATGCCTGCAATTCCTTTATAGTCCACACAAACTTTGTGGTATGGCACCGCTTGGCTCTTTATTACCATTCTTACCATTTTGGCATGACATTTTTTTTGTGGATGATGTCTTGCTCAAATGAGCAGTGGCAGTAATAACCTTTTTACAGCCCTGAACCAGTAGTGATAATTCCACATTATTATGGTGGGGCAAGTGTCTCCATAGGACAACCACTATTACTTCCCCACAATGCGGGACCCAATTTATCGACTCCAGAGGTATACTAATAATAATTACAACTTGTAACGCGCTGCAAAATATTCACTTTTGAAGAGACAGATCAACTCGGAGGCACGTAGAGGATCCACAGACGACCAATGAAAGGCAGCCAGATGGTGGGCCAGAGCAAAAATCCCCCCCACCCCAAGTTCTGCGGTCCTCTATATATTAAGGTGCTATCAGCTCATTAATAATGGAATAGATGGAGTCCTGTCCACAGTTTCTCTACCGCGTTATCCAGGCAAACCACAGAATGACAACCTCGACGCCCATAGGAAAGGCATTTTCTGACATGTGTGATCCACTAATCATCACCGCCTCCACACATTGCTGAAGTACAGGCGTGCGCCACCACCACATGCCATGAAGGTATGCGACAGCGAATGACCTTGTTATTCTTTGCTCGAAAAGAGATTTTGATCATAAAGCCACACCACCCCTTACTGTCCCCGCCAACCGCTACTGCTGCTGCCTACGCACGCTAGCACCCTTGCACAACCCCCACCACTACCCGCTCACTAATACCACCATTACCCACTCACTATCCACTCACTATTGCTACCACTACCTGTTCACTACTGTTAACACTACCCGCTCACTACTACCACTACGTCCCACTCACGCTGTCTCTCACTAAAATGTACTCTCCCATGCACAAACCCCCACTGATATGTACCCAGCTTTAGCTTAGAGTTGCCAAGTTTCATGGATAAAAAAGACACGGTACTGCCTTTAAACACACAAACCCAAACCCGCGTCCAGTAAAAAAAAGAGCCTAAAGATGAAGAGGGGGTGCCGACAGAGGAGGGAGGGGCCTAAAAGGAATCTGTGGGGAGGGCCTCAAGTTAGAGGGGGCGGGGTCTAAATGGAAAGGGGTGGGGGATGAATAATAAGGAGTCTTAAGAAGGGTGTGGGGCAGAGGAGCGACGCTCACCAATGTGCGGAGCGCCTGGCGGATAAAATACAACAGGTTAGAACACTGGAAGGTACAGTTGGTGCATCTGCCAGTCATCTCAGCCAATCCATAGCACCTGGGTTTGTCTCGTGACCTGTCAGCGAGCCTTCAACACTTCACGTGGACTCAAGTGCACCTGGACTGGCACAGGCGCTGTGGTCACTTCACCATCACTTCGTGGCGAATGGCAGGGTATTGGGGCCTAAAACTAAATTGGTAGTGGCCTAAATAGGATGAAGTGGGGCTTAAAGAGAAGTCGGGGCAGGAGGGAACACCCAATTCCACATGCCGAGGGTTAATTGAAGCCAATAATCATGTAAGTGCATCAGGCAGCAAAAATGTCTTGAGGCAGATTCAGTTACAGGTTAACTATTATTAACAATAATAATCATCTTAGCAAATTGTTAATTTCTACTATATACATTGGATGGGCTAGTAGACAAGGAGGGTTTAGAATCCGAGTTAGGGCTCGAATGGGTAACCACCAGTGCATACCAGGTATTGTAGGCTTGGGCTATAACGACAGGTAGATGTCAGAAAAATGGATTCCATCCCTTTACTGGATTGAGTATATTCAATAAATCCTTCTCATGCGGATCTTTAAGGGTAACCCTCCTCATAAGTGTGGGTTTTCTCTGGGCACACCAGTTTTCTCCCATAGGCTAAACTCATTTTGGAAGCCACCTGACAATGGAGTCTTGAAACTAAGTGAGGCATTTTTGGATAAATATTAATAACAATTGCCATTCGACAATTAAAATATAAAACAGTTAAAAAGACATTTGAATTTGTAATGCACAGTTTTCACTCGAGCCTCAGAGAGAGAGAATCAATTAATCGGTGTCGAAAGCCACAGATAAACAAGAAAGCAGCCAAAACCGTTTTCAACAATTGCCAAAACTCTGTGGCCCTATACACTATTGGGATGTGAGAAGACACCACAGTATCCGCAGAAAACCCACGTGTGCGAGGGAAGGGTAACACTCAATCCCCATACAGGTTGAACAAATGGGAGATTAATCCACTTGCTTTACTGCCATACCCTGGGAAGCCAGGAGATGGTCAACTCAATACCCACTAATAGGGACTTTTCACGAATTGTGTGTGATCCACTAAACCTTAAAAGTGTTGGGTGTACAGTATTGTGCCACTGTAGTCTTGTGAAAATATCGTAATCAAGTGAAGCCACATGGATTCTAACCGCTAGACAGTACTCTGCAACCAATAGAAGTAAAAAAAAACATGATTCATAATTCCCGTGTGGATTTTTTTTACAGCGGCTCACTGCATTCATTCATATATCTATAATTTTCATATGAAACTATTGTAATTTCAAAATCTTTCAATTTTAGTTTTTATTTGTAATGAATTACAGCTACCTTATAATGTAATTATTTAATCACTTCACATGCAAAAAACGGTTGCAAAGTTGGGCTCAAGATAAAATATGTGCAGAGCAAAAGTGATACACAACAAGTTTGAAAATTTGTTGGAGGTAAAAGGAAGGTCCGAAAGAAATTCTACGTTCATGCCTAAGGCAATTACTGGAGGTGGATCAGAATTGAAATTATTCAACAAAGAGGTTAACAAGAGCAGAGGATTGCCACTGTGGAGATGAGGTGATGGGATCAGGTCGTGTGCTGGAGAAAGCGGATTCTGGCATCGGAGGGCCGTGGTGTAGAAAGGCCTTCATCCAGCAGTGTATTGACAATATCTGATACACAACTGTTGTATTATTTTCTTTGCTACACAATGACCTATGCGTCCTCAAATGGTATTTGAACAAATAAATATATCTGTTAGTGGCTATTTCTTAAGTTTGTTAAAAGTTTTATTTTAGGAATTATAACGATTTGCCTTTTGTGGTATGTCTGGGTTATTGATGTTTATTTACTAAATCATTAAATACGACTAATGTTGATAATGACAAAATGGCAATCCAATCCTGTTCAACACACATTTTCTTGCAGATTTGCTTCTGCTGCTGGAATGTGTTTCTTACTGATATATATACGACGCTGCCATGGCTTAATAGTTTAGTACGCTGAACTTCCAATCCAGAGCTTGGGAGCTCGTGTTGGTTCGATAATCTGGCATGGCAGTTGAATGAAATGCGAGTTTCTTCAATCCCTCCTCCTCTGTCGATCAACATGGTTGGTCGGCAGATTGTCAATATGCAGATTTCGTGTTGGGGGTTAAGTGTGGGTGCTCCCACCCATTCCAACACGTCTGTCTAGCATGGAAGAGTAAGCATGATATCCTATAGTCCGTGGACCTTTTGCCAAAAGTGAAATAAGCAAGGCATTTCAGATCTGCATATTTAACCCTTGACCTTTACTGGTATTTTATGTTTTATTTACCAGTCTTACAGTCACCTTGAGGGTGCGATTGTGAATTTCTCACCAGATTGCAAGTACACTGGCTGCCTCGAGGTGACAACGCAATGTGGCGACAAAGAAAATGCCACTGGTAACTTTTAATCGTACACATGCACATCCGCATGCACACATACAGATTGAGACTATACACACGTGCATGCATTCACACATTTTAAACAAAGGCATTCCTTTCAACTCTCTGATGCGTTTTCGGGTTGTACCAGGTGTTAAGCATAATCACCGCTTGTTGCGGATGGTTTGCAGATCGAGTCGCACGGCTGCCCTGGTGAATACTGCCGCTAATATTAAACATGCATATTATCGGCTTCACAGTGGATGTTAAATATCCCATGACGCCATTCCAAACAGGGTAGTGGCTGGGCCATATGTGCTGCCATTACAAGCCAAATTTGACAAGATTAAACAATTCCAGCCTGTTCTCCTATAACGTGGTAGTTGCGTTCCTGAAGAACACCACGTTCTGAAAAAAATCGCGTTATAATAAATAATATATTATAATAGAATGAAAGCACAGTCTGCGATAACACGTGAGTTGCATATGCAGGCTAAACAAATACTGAGGCGAGTGGGTAGCATTTAGAAGCATCCCGGCTTGTGTGATGCTCCACCGAGTCAGCCGTACAACCGCTTATTCCTACTAGCGACATAGTTGTGTAAGTTCTGTTGATTCAATTGCGTTCTATCCAATTCGCATCCGCGTTATAAAAATGTTCCCTGATACATTAATCGCATTATATCCAATTCCCGTTATGAAAACACGTTAAAGGAGAACAGGCTATACAGTCGACCCTTCTGCATCATGACTTTCCCCATCGCGATTTCGATATATCGCGGGGTCGGCACAAGAAATACAATTGGATGTTTTTTGGGAGTTTTACGAAAGCCGCAGATGACACACGAAGGCTAGCAGACTACACACAAAATGTGAAGTAACTCATAAATACGTAAAATATATGTACAGTACTGTATGATATTAATGTATTTTATCTTTTAATACCATAAATATACACCTTTTTTTAAAAGTAACATTTGGTAAAAAGTTAAAGTTTGAAAAAAGAATGCTCGCTTCGCTCACCAAGGGGACCAAAAAAAATTACGCGTTTTTCTAGATCGCAGGGGGCCTTCGTCTCCTAACCCCCACGATGTGGAAGGGTCGACTGTACTTGCAAATTGCAAAAATCTGTGAAATGTAGCAACATCGTCCCCTACTGAGAAACCACTGCAGGCTTTGTGAAGCATCACACCTTTTGTGATAGCCTTGAGCTATAAGCACGGTGTGAATTGCAAACGTACATTACTGGCGAGATCATGTGTTGTCTAAACTTTCACTCCACGTGCTGGGGATCTTCTTTAGGCACCCAATGCAGTTTTTTTAACAACACCATACCGTGCGCCACCACACAATGTTCCGCCACACCAGGCACTAACCACATCCTGCACCTCCACTCCCTGTAGCACCACACTCTCCTCCCACAACCTGTGCCACCACACCATGTGCTAATTGCACCATGCATCACCATACCCTGCACCACCACACCCTGTGGCACCAAGCCCTACACCACCACCCCCTGTGCAAACCACAGTTTAAATGTCCTCATCGTTGTCAAAAGCTTGACACAGAGCCGATGAGTTTACGATGCTTGCGTTTACGCCGGACCTTCTGATGTGTTTGTGCGTGGGGGTTTACGTTGTCGTTATGATGGTGTGTTTCTGCCCTCTCCGTGTGACCAGTCTGCCAGTTCAAAGAGTGCATCAGCGTGAAGACAAAATGCGAGGAACCGCTCAACCAGTACCTGACGCCGGAGGAAAGTAAGCGCGAGCCGCATGCCCCGGCACCGCAAGCCCCGGCACTGCATGCATCTCATATTTGAGTGGGAATGAAGGAAACTTAAAGGAAGAGGACAACTTCAAAACAAATCAGTGCTCTTTACTTGCATTTGTTTGCATTTTGACCGCAAGTATTATGGTTAATGCAGACATGATTCCTCGTAAAAGGGTTTCAGTTTTGTTGCCAGACAAAAGGGGAAAAACCCATTCTTACATTTTCGTACTGGCAAAGGAGGCCTCATGATGCTCTTTTACTGTTTGGCCTACCCTTAATAATGATAATTATGCAATTTGTAACACGCACAATATTTTACGGGCCTGAATGACTGTGCCACCAAGATCAGGATCACTCAAAAGCCAGGCTTTTGAAGTGTCCATTTAAAGTAGATAACACTGATGCACACCAGCAGAGGAATTTAAATGTATTTTCAAATGTGACATTTTCAGTGTCTTTTCAAATCCCATCTCATCATCTTATCGTATAGAAAACAGTGAATTATGCTGTAAAATTCCCCGGCGCAGGGATAGGGTCAACTTCCATTCAATTCCACACTGCACTGTGTCACGACGTTCTAGCAGCACAGCCTCCTGCAAATTGCAAACACAAGTTGTAACGTAGGTGTTTTAAAGGTAGGGGTATGATGCATCACTTCATCAATTAATATCGATGTTTTAAGCAAGTGATACACATGGAATCGCGTTTGCAAGATATTATTTTTTATTAATGTACGTTAAATTTAATTGGTTAACGTGACCCCTCCAGCCACTAGAGGTCGCTACTTCCACCATCATTTTAATGATATTCGATTTTCCAATCAAACTGTCGAATTGAATTGTAAAGATTAATTAAATTGCGGTGGAAAGGTGGGGGGGAAGAGGCATTCTACTGCTTGATGAGGGCCTCGACACGCAATGTGGGTCTTCGGGTTATATCACAAAATTAAGGCGATTTCAGAGGTGGCTCTATGATATTCACTTCCATGGGCCGTTCTCTACGATGAAAGGCCACGATAGGTTTGAATGGAATTCTTCCTCTCGTGACACGCTACGCCAATAGCACAATCGGCATTAAGATTGGCTAAAAATATAAATAAATAACATTGTAAACAAAAAAGCCTGAATGGCAGGTGTAGACCAAGTGAACCACTTGATGTGTCATCCTTATGTTATCCTGTGATTGCTAACCACTTTGCACTGCCTCACAACTGGGCCATCATCCATTTGGAATTCCTGTATGCACTTCAAATCCGGTAAATGTTTAGTTGTTTATGTACTGACGATAACTGTGTTCCTTCACACTTCTGCGTGGCAATGGCAGTCTGCGAGGGGGACGCGTTTGATCAAGTGGACTTGCAATGCCTAATTAACTCACGCCAAGGCTATGACGAGCTCACAGGTAACAACTCGCTGCGATCCCTCCTCTGTTGCCATCAATACCTTCACTTGTCGCCGCCACTAACGCCGGTCATCATCACCGGGCATACTTGCGGGCAAGCTATCATTGACACGATCATAAAGGTGGCCCCACAATTGCTCGCTCGTGCCGCTGCTGGTGGAAGGATCTCCGCTAGAGGGAGCTCCAGGGAGCTCCTCTACTGCAGTGCAATTTGACCTCCTCGTCGACACTGGCCAGACGTATTGGACGTGTACGTGAGAGGCAGGAGTGCCCAATCTTCACCCCACCACACTAGACCTGCCGATTTACTCTGCTGTGCCCATTTATATTGTTGGGTGGACAGAGGTGGCGGTGAGGGGAGATTTTATGAACTTGCCCATGGTTTTAACTTTCATACCCACCGTGTTCATCATTGTCATCAATGGAGGCCTACAACCATCACAACAACCATCACTTGCGTTGGCAATCTGACGGTCATCATTACTCTGAGGAACATGTATCCTGATCCAGCAGTCTACTGCTGGATGAGGGTATTGCCACGGCCGTACGGGTCATGAGGGTTAATTTACCATACTTCACCACACTGGTCAGTGCGTGGTAGCACGGGAGAGCAACGTGTGTGAGCGCATAAACATACAATTCAACAGTTAATTTTGTTGCAGTCTTCCGCTGCCCAGCACATGGACCCACAATGGTCTATAACATCTGTTGTATACGTCTTGCTCTCCCATCCAAGCAACCACCCAGGTTCAACTCTGCTTACCTTCCGAGTTCTCATGGGATTGGTTATTACTCACATAGTCATATTACGATGTCCCTTGAATGTGCAGTATTAGCTTAGTCAATCGTAATGATTTCACAATATAGGTAAAGACTAGAAACTTTTTTTTTACCTGTGCCACACCACTGAAAGTGGAGTAGAGTCACGGATATAATGTCTGGAAAAAATAAACTGGATCAGGAAAGGGGGGAGAGCAGAGAACGATTTGTAAATAAGAGGAAAATAATGAAAAATGGGACCATATGTCAGAAAAGATGAGGACAGGGAGGAAGTGGCTACATAAGGGCCTCGTTGTTGCATGGGGCAGCGTCAGATTTACGGGAGGCTTGAGCCGATTTAGTTATACAAGGACTTCTCTACTTACGAACATTCGACTTACAAACTTTCAGAGATACGAACAAACCTACCCATATGTCCAGTTGCCTGTTCGGACCGAGAGTCGTAGGTTCAACCGCAGCGCAATAGATGGCGGTGGTGGCATCTACATCTGCAGAACATAAAAAACCAGTGGCATCTACATCTACAGGAGATTATACAACTTTTAAAGCCATTCCCCGTGTTCAGTGTACATGCCGTACAACATGTTTGGAATCGTCAGGAGTAAATTTGGACTTAGAAATAAATCGATTTCACGAACAGACCTCTGGAACCTAACTCGTTCGTAAGTAGAGGAGTCCCTGTACATTTTTGTGTTTATGTGTAAATGAGAGTTGATGCAATTGGGATCTGCATGTCTGGTAGGTGCGGGAGGTTGTTCTGAGTCAATCCATCACTGTCCCCACAGCATGCAAGGGCAAGGGCTATGCGCGCGCCAGGAAGCAATGCTTTCAGAGAATCTACAAGAAGAAGATCGAGGCCATTGGTGAGAGCTGTGCTCATAAATGCGTGGCTTCGAAAGATTGAGCCGGGTCCCCTGCAGATGTCCTGGAACTCGTTGATGCTGCGCTGGCTACCCTGTCTATCCCTGCGGCTCGTCATTGATGTTGTTGATGTTGTTGATGTTGTTGATGTTGGTGCTGGGCCCTGATTGCCTCATACCATGCTCTGCTCTCTCTCCTCTCTCTCTCTCTCTCATGTTATCCCTGCCTAATGCCCTGACTGCCTCCCCTCCGCCACTTCCCACTTTTTCTCCAATTTAGTGATTTTCTTATGTAAAGGATTTTTAGCTGCAATTGCATTTATTACAAGAGTAATCATGTTGTACTACAGTTGTAATAGATACATGTATTAACTAGTTTCGATTAGAACTGTGATAAAAAAAAATACCTCACAATTGTCAATGACACTGTGGCTTTAAAAGAAATATATATATATAAAATGGCCAACGTGTTAGAAAGACCACAGGGATAGAGTTACTAAGGGTTAGAGACTGCACTTAACACCATGGGGCCTGAGATTATATTTTGACCAGTTTCTAAATTGGCATATGAATGGTTACGACGGAGTAACAGAAAGACCCTTCAATAATCGTAGGTATTACTCTGCTAATTTATATTGAAAAGTAAATGTATTGAATGTTTCTGGGACATTGCATTGTGGATAGATGTGTCCTTGTAAAAACAAGTCACATTTCACTTAGCAATACATCCCTGGGCCCAATTACCATCACACTACTATTCAAAATAATCTATGCCTCGAGTTTCCTGGCTGGCTGCTGGCTGAGTTCCTGTCTACCCCAACAATAACTCTGTTGTTAGTGGCTGCTTTGAGCCGTTGCCAACAAAACTAGCTGGGTACTTGACGAAATAGGATTTTCCGTGGAACAAATAATCATTGATATGAATTGAAACTGCAGAAAAAAATTCAGAAAACTAAATAACAATAATTGATACCGAAGAATTGGGAGTAACTAATACAGTATATTGACACAGTTGTTAAATAATGTTCTCGAAGGTTTCATTTGTGCTTTCATGTAATTATTTTGCAAGAATATTCTTTAAATTTTAGGGAATTGAAAAAAATCTCAAAACATTATCTTGGCATTTTATCTATTTGTCTAAAAGGGAAATCTGTGAATACGTGTGTCTGTTCGAAATGTTTAGCATACTTCCCAACATGCATCAAATTTGAAATTTGGCATGTCAGTAGCTTCTAGACTGTACACAATGCAAAAAGTCTAAAAATATACTTTTGTATTTTGGGGGGGTGGGGGGGTGCAATAATGCATGCAATACTGTATATTGCACGGCAAGTGAGCGATTACGTCACATCTGTGATGTCACCCGCATGCGGAAGCGTTACGCAGTGTGCCTTCTGACGTCACGCACCCCCCCCCCAACCCTCCGCGTAGACTGTGTATCCCGCACAAATGCGCGGCACAGCTGTCTCGATTTTCTAAGTCAACGCGACACTTTTCAGCTCGCTCTTAAATATAAAGCAGAAAATAAATCTGTTTATGTGAAGCAGCAAAAACTCTCGATCGCTGACCTCTGATGGCATGAAATTTGCACAGCTTATGCTGTCTGGAATTTCTAAGGAACGCGACTATTTTCAGATTGCCACGTCATTCCTTTCCCGAGTTGCATAAATCGACCTTACGTATAAGTGGGTTAAGGTTGATTTTTCCTTCAGTGAAAAACGTCTGAATTAGTTCAATTGATTTGTTTCGGCTTTTTCCTTTTTTGCAAGCATCAATTTTTTCAGGGTTTTTCAGTGAAATATAAGGGAATATGAAATTAGTCCAAGACAAGAATCCAAGTCCCTGGCGAAGCCGGGTAGTAAAGCTAGTTATTAGATAAAAAGCAGCTTATTTTAAGTGTTCCGAGTAGCGGATTGTGTGAGGAATATGAAAATGACAGCTGTTTATTATTTTCTATTGCAGAGAAATGAGGCCTCTTCTAGTTTCAATGTTAAAAAATGTAAGTGCCCTACATTACAGAGACAGAGAAGTTTGAGAAATAAAATGTGAGGCACACCCAAAACGCTGACTGCTCAGCAATTTGGGCCTTTGGTGGACCTGTGCTTCCTGACTTTGGTCAAATAAAAAAAATCTATACTTGATGGCCCAAAAGTCAGGACACATAGGGTTATATTTATTTTAACAAATCAGAAAGGGTTATTTCATGTATATTAATAAATGTTCAAACGGCATGAATTATTCTTTGAAATAATTTTTTTAATAATAACAGCTGCCTTCTTTAGCATATATGTAACAATAAAAACGAATCGAACTCCTTTGTCTTTAGTGCATTTTCCATATTTAAAAGTAATCTGAAAAAGGGAGATGAAACGTAAATATTCATAATCAATAGATACAATATTAACTTAAAGAATAAACATAAAAAAATAATAATGGCAGTTAAAATAAATTAAATAGCCCTATGTGTCTTAAATTTTCGACCACCCTGTATGATGAAAAAAAATGGCGGTGCTCATAATTACCATGATGATGCAATGGAAGGTAATTGCTGGATCTCTCTGGCGTGTTCCGCTATGCTTCCGATTCTCACCTGCACCACTGTCCCACCTCTTTTCTCGTTCCAGCCAAGAGACAGCTGAACCTCCGCAGCATTCCTGACCGAGTGCTCGGTGAGCAACATGCCAGCGAAACGCACTCAAACGCATTCTCCGCGCACGTCGCGATATCATGTCGATCTCGTCCGCCCACTCGTAACACGTTCCGTCGTTTTGTCGTCCAAAGAGTGCGCGCTGGACAACTGTTACGAGAAGACAGAGGAGTGCCTTGAACCGTACCACCTGCAGTATGCTAAAAACCCAGGTGAACATTCTACACTGTCGCAAATATTGGGGACCAATCCATGAATGGTAGGAAAGGAGTTGTCACTAACAGTTGATGAGCAACAAATACAAATTGCATATAGTTGTCTCTTTCTGACAATGTGGCCATTTTCTTTGAATTGAAAATTTGCGGAACACATTTTTATCATAATTTTTTTATTTTTTTATTTTACCTGTGTAAGGCCCACTTAGCTATATAGTTGTTTTTCAGAAGTTACCTGGCCACAAATGATGACTCAGCGAACTATCTTATCATGTAGAAATGTATAACAGCCAAATACTCAAAACGTATGTTTCTAAATGGTGAGGGAAAACCGGAGGACCTGGAGAAAATCAACACATCGACAGGGAGAACATGCAAACTCCAAATATATAGGCGTCATGATCGAACCCACGATCTCCTCCATACCAGGCGAAAAAGTTAACATCTCGCCACTGTGGCACCCCATGACAGCGAAGGAGTTTTCACCAATAGTTGGTGAAAAAATATGCATATAGTTTTTGTCTCTTTCTGTCAATGTGGCATGTAGATGTCTGCTTTGGTATTGAGAATATTGTTCAATCGAGAACCTGGTGACCCTGAGTTTGAGTCCCAATCACGGCTAACTTCATTGGCCAGCGATATCTGTTTAACCTGTCCTGGGTCTCCCCACACCCACCTTCACCAACCGACACTGGCCGGTTGGTGAAGGTGGGTGTGGTGAAGCCTCCATCCAGCAGTGGATGGACAAAGGGCTGTGATAACACGGTATATATTGCAAGGTGGCCCAAACGTCAGGACATTTAGGGTTATATTTATTTTTGAAAATCACATTAGGTTATTTAATTGATTTTAAAAAATGTTCAAACTGACTTCCATTAACGTTAATGCATGCATTCATTCTTTTTAAATGGATTTGGGACATTTTTAAAAGAGATTACAGCTTCCTTATTTAACTTATATAAAAACGAATTGAACTCGTTCGTCCAAAGTCAATCTTCTTACCATTTTTAAATACCATCTGAAAAGTAAGATGAAAAATAGATATTCATAATGATGACAGACAAAATATTAACCTAAGGAATAAATAATTAAAATGTTTATTACCAATATTAAAATAAATGTTTCCTGACTTTTGGGCCACCCTGTATATATGCATGCCTACTATAATGCCCCAATGTTCAATAGAATGAGCATTATCCATTTCATTGGAATGCGATCTTTACTTGGCCTTGCCCATTACTTTGTTGTTGGACTCCAGGCGCTCTGTCATTGACTTCCGCCCTCTTTTTTTTTCTGCAGCCTCCTTGCGGGAGTTTCAGCTGGAACATTGTGCCTACGTCGCCAAGGACTTCCCCCATTGTGAGAACAGGGAGGAGCTCCCCTTCACTTATCTTCCTCTTCCTGCTGTGCTCCCATGGCCACGGGGCACCCTCCAGTCTTGTCTCCTCATCCCCTGACTCCATGAGAACAGCTTCTTCTAGCATTAGCACAAGTGTGGTTGGCAATGGCCCTGGTGCAGGCAATTAAATGAGGCCCATGTTGAACTTACATCCTCTTCAATTTAACACGTAGGTTTTCGCGTCCAATATTATTGATAAAGTAAAGGTTTTTGGGTTAGGTCGCGTAAGTATAAATGTGTCATTAATACGTTCTGCATATTTAAAGATAAAAATCAACCGTTATAATTGATATGACTACAATAAACCCCCCTCTGATTTTCACACCTGCTAAGCTCACAGTGATGAATTGCGATTAACCCATCTTGAAATATGTGCAGCATAATTTCAGATAAACATAATCCATGATCACTTTTATCATTACAATTAACCACCCTCTGATCTTTGCACCTGATTGGCTCACAGTGTTGACGTCATCTTGCTCTATTTAAGACCGGAAGCAGGAAGACTTCTTCACAAATCGCCTGATGAAGCTGGTTGTAATCATAAGTGAAACATCGCACTCAGTTGTAAATGTCATGAGTTTACTCGCCATCACACCTATGTGCCGAAGTAGTGACTAATTTTCACGTTTTGTTTACGTGACAAACCTTACTAATTGGTTCTATCAGGTGGTGAACGGTTAACGATATATTTATATTCCCTCCTCTTCATAGCCCGGCGCCTGCGTCCCTTTGTCCCGTGGGACCCAGTGCAGCTGCACCACCTGCATACTCCATAGCAAAGCCACTTTCTTCCAGTCTCCATTATAAATGTCACATTTATAGCTGTGAATCAGGAAACCAGGACACTACCTTTCAGGAAGTGAAATTGTTAGCAATGAATTATTGATATTAAGACCTTTGTAGATGAGACACATTCAAGGGGAAATGGCATTCCAAACTGTCCTTCGCTTGAAATGTTTATTTTTTGTAAGCCGTTGCAGCTGCAGGAGAGCTCCTTTAGTCTACAGTATCGTAGTCAGTTGCTACCCTTGCATTTAAATTCCCCATGAAAAGTGGGCATTCAAGCCGATGTTGTTTTAGGCTTGTCTAGGAAATCGCTTGTGTCCGAGTCTTCAGCCCTTTTCGTTCAACCTAAGTCGCAATGATTGTCATGTATCTCTGAATCTCAGACATTTATGGTTCTGTGCTTGGCATTTATGTGTCGTGTGTATTTCTTATCCAACACTGTTACACTGTCGTCTTTGGTTCATCTTGAACTGTACCGGTTACTCTACCATTGCTTCATCATGAAAACGTCATCTGCGGCAGTAGCCCCCCCCCCCCCCCCCGAGTCCACTTCTCCCCAATGCTGGGTGCCTCAACACCTAACATGGATCTCGTTTGACCCAGTGTCATCCAAGTCGGTTTCACGATCAATAATCATTGTCTCATTATCCACTGGGCTGCAACCATTCATCCTTCTCTTGGGTAACCACTTGTGAGGTACCTTATCTCTGTTGCTTACAAACAAGACAACCTGGGTTTGCAATCGGAGTTTTCCCTTTTCTAGAGAGATTTGACTCAATAGGCTAAGCCCCGGTGTTCATTCAGAATTCCTTTTTCATAGAGCCCGTGCAGGTTTAGCCTTGGTGCGCGAGTGCCTGGTTACTCTCAGTCTGTGGGTAGGCCACGTATCCACCAATGGGATTATGCACTCTGCCTCTGTTTGCAGCTCACAGAGGCTACAGCTGGGGGCCTACGAGGTAGCACTCACAGAAACTCGACGCAGACCTGTGCATATTAATCCTCACGACCCAGTTGAGAATATTTTATGAACCAAAAAATGAGAACGCTTTTTTAAGAAAACTAGCAGTCCACACGTTCTTTGCATATGTCCTTCCCTCCACAGACAGCCAGCCAGTCTTTTGTCTAATGTAGTATGATAGTACGATAGAGTATCCCGTGCATTTGCGAGGCAACCAGAGCCGGCCGGGTGGAGGGTTGGGTGGGTGTTGGAGGGATGATGTCAGTGCGACGCACAAACTCAGCTCAATGCTGTGGGATACAGTGACGTTCGCACGTGGACTTAGCCGTGCGCCAGCCAGACAGGAATCCAGGCAAATATGGTATGACGCCAGTCATTTAAATAAAAACCCACAGTTAAATAAAAACCCACATTGTTTGAGAGACCTTGATATTTGAAAAGTTTGGCACAATTGTGGCAGCATATACATTTAAAAATATTATCTGCAATCATCCAGGAAAGCCTTATTGAGTCTCAAGACTCTCTTTAACAAGGGTCCTGCATTGGGATGTTTCACCAATCTATTAAGGGTTGTCTGTCTTTATGTGGGAGGACACGGGAGAAACCCCACGCAGATGAGGTGATAAGACTCAACGCTTCGCAATGTGAGCTTAATCTATTTCTGTACTGCCATCTCCTAGTTACCTCGCTACCCCCATGCCTATAACACCCATTAAAATCCTAACTAGGCTCAAATCTGCTCAGCTTCAAAGTTCCGAAGAGATCGGGCACATTTAAGGGGTTTTGTTTGCTTGTACGTTTTGTGTGTGACCTCAGACTGTGAGACCATGGAATGCACCAAGGAAGTGGATGCTTGCGGAATGCAGAATCGGAATGTGATAGACGAGGAGAACGGGCCTGACGGTGAGTTACACACCATATTGCATGGAATTGTTTGCCAGCTTAAAGTAAAGAATACATGCAGCCATGGTGTAACGGTTAGTGTACTGGACTTGCAGTTCAAAGGTCGTTGGTTCAATTCGATATCTCGGCAATGCTGGAGTTGAAACAATGGGAACGTTTCTTAAACCTCATCGCCTCTATCCACCAGAGGTTGTCGATCGGCAGGTCGCGAGTCGGTGGGTTAAAGTTCAAATACACCAGCCTCTTCCAAGATGCCTGGCCAGTATGGAAGGGTAGGCCACACATAACTTCCAGAGGCGATCTATAGAGCGTCTTCTGGTGGAGGCCCTTCCGCCAGCAGCGACAGTAACTATGGCAAGTCCTCTATTTACATTGGGGATACGTCCATGGAAAACGCGACGTTGGGCAAAAGGCGTAAACTGAAAACCTACTTCACCATTGACTTAATCATATACGTTTAACCCGTAGGCTTTCGCAACAAATATTATCCATAAGTTAGTTTTGGGTTTTTTTCGTTGCATATAATGTGTTCATATCGCCTTGCGGCCACTAGACGTACTAACATTCACCGCAATGTAAAGCAAAAAAACTAAAATTTATTACTAAAATCGAATCGTGCCTCCTTGAATTATGACAACTGGGTGGGATTATTCTACCCCTATAATTACATAGTTGATGGTCGAATTTACATCATTGTCAACTTGTGCCATCTGCCCTATTATCAATGTGACAGACCGTTTGACATTGTTATCAAGAGATGACTACTTTGAGCCAGTGCCATGGATCAGAAACCCAAAAATGTGATATAATTAATGCCCACAGCACATTTTTATCAAGCCAACAATACCTTGTATTTTAGCGACTTGAGTTGGCCACATTTATCCCAAAATTCGAGTTGAGAGAGAACTCAAGTTTGATCTTTAACAAAGTTGTGTTTTCCATGATTTACCGAGTTATGACAAGAGTTGGGCAGGTCAGCCAGTTCAGTAAAACAAATTCGGGTAAGGGCCATTGAGCTTAAGAAGCTCGTTTTCAATGGCAACCTGGCCAATGGTCGATAGTGCCAATCACGTTACGTATAAATGGAGAATTTGCAAAAGCAGGGACATTTTATAAACATGGCTAATAAACAACCTGAACTATGGACAATGGGAGTCAAGCTATCCATCCAAAATAACAGTCAGCATGACACTCGCGAGTGACAAATGTTATCCATGAATACTTCTGAGCAAAGACTTTCCCACACATAGCTTAGTGTAAAAGGGCAAAATAAATTTGCTGACGATAGGTTAATTGTAAAGGTTAAATGTTAAATAAAATGTAAAGTAAAATATTCCCGCCAGCTACAATATTTTTTTATCATAACATTTGGTGCTGTATTTCCACTTGGGCCGATTTTTGACGTGGGGAATCTCAGCAATCGCACGTAGCAAAATTACATGCAGTTGAGAAAAAAATATGGATACGCGATTGCCAGGATGGCAACTTCACAGTCTACCAGTCTACCAGCTCTACAGTGCACTGTGTGTGTTGTGTCTCACCGGGTGCAGTGGGTCTCATTGCTGGTGTTGTGGGTGGACTGCTGGTGGCCATCATCGCGGTGGCCTGCATTGTGCTGTTCATCAAGAAACGTAGCCAGAGCCGTAAGTGCACGCTCATTTGCACCAGACTCTTTGCTCCATCTTATGTTTATAATAGCGTCATTTCAGTGAGACCTGTCTATTAGCCATTCTTTCCTATTGTCTGTGCCCTAGAATCAATAAAAAAATGCTTTATCTATTTTTTTCATTGATAAGAGAAGTGATGCAGAAAATTCATCATATACATCCTCTTTTTACCTAAGTTTTTTTACAAATCACCAAAAGAACCCCAGTAAATCTCCCCAGGTAATACCTCACCGCCGGCCAGTTTGTTGTCACTCCCCCGCACCTCCAATTAAAATGGTTGGCTACGTACGGTGTGAAAGAAGTTCAACATACATACTAATCGTGTGCCTCTGTCAATCGCACCAAAGGTGGGAGCAGCCCCAATGGACGAGGCTCTCCCGTGCAGTTCAGCCAAGTTTCAACCATCGCCAATGCGTGAGGAAGCAAGAGAGAGAGAGCAAGCATGCGAGCACATGCGTACGTGCTGTGTGGTACGAAAATCTCTGTGTCACAGCAATGGGCAACTCAAAAAAACCACACGTGCCACTTAAACCCATGTTTCTTGCGCATATCTTGTTAATTGGACCGTCTAAGTTTCTCGATTTGCATGCAAAGGGCGGACCGTGTACGTCCCGTGCGGTCTTTTGAATTGCCTATGCATGGTTTTCTTGCTCAATGATAATTGCGTTGCTTTGGCTCTGCGTTTTACTGAATAATTCCACTTAACACATTCTATTGCAAGATTGTAACGAATGACATCAAAGACAGCAATAACAATGTAATGATCTGACTAAACAAAATTAAAGCATTGAATCGAATTTCCCCAATATAAATGCAACTAAATCCTAACGTTTGGCCATAAAACGTTAGGCGCATAAAAATATTGCGCTTGTGAGACTGGAGATCCATTGTGTCAAATCCCTTTCTCTTCAATTGCAGTCCCAAGTGGTTCATAATCTATGGATATGTGAGACGGTGCAGCGGATAGCTTGGTTGGTATAAGCATTTTCCTCTTGGTCCTCCCCCCATGATATTGGCACTCATGAATCTGGCCCTGAACGGCATTATCAGCCACTTTTGTAAGTATTATGAAGTTGATCTCTGCTGACATCAAATTGTGATTTAATAAATTGACCCAAAGCGACAAAAGGGTCTCTGTTGAAATGTTGCACTGACGGGATGGATGTTTTTTGTGTTTTTAAGACAACCGAGAATACTAGAGGACCATTGTATAATTAGAGTCCGCATAGATGACCGTTATGCTTTTCGTTGCTTATTATCATTCAGGTGAATTTTCGTGCATTTTGGTGATCTGGATGTCTGCAGGGCGAGGTTCTCAAACTCCAGTCCTCGCGATCCACCACACTCTGTCTTTCTGCATTTACGTTTTGATGCGCCCCTAATACATTCTCACCTACCCCGACTGGACATCTGTGGATAAAAAAAAGTGCTTTATAGCTCACCGGATTCCTCCAGTATAATACAAATGAAATTGTTCGATGCTGCACGGGCCAAATTATTGTTAAACACGTCCAATGTGATGCGATAATCAATCAACGCTGTCTGTGTAAATATAGCACAATCAAATTAATATTGAGATCTCAGTGCGTGTGCACTGTGCTTAGCTCTTGTCACGTGAGACGCGTTTAACAATCATGGGGCTCGTGTGGCGTGGAACGAGTTCATTTTATTTGAATGGGGAGTACATTTGTAAACGCCGAGAGACGTAGTCACGCGGACTGGAGTTTGGAAAACCGTGCTCTATGCGTTTTTATTAAAACTGTGGTTCGCTGGTTCGAGCTGAGACTCCAGACCCCCTCTCACAAAGCAGATGAAACCCTCAAAAATACTACAACACTTACTCTATAGACACATTAATATGCATACGAATGCGCTTATTTTAGGGTCCTGCTTTGGGATGTTTAGCCAATTCCATGAATGAGTGGTTAGTTTAACTCGAGAAATCAGCCCTGAATTTCTCTACACTGTTCCAGTGTCCGGTCCTGGAAGACATGTACAGGGTTGTCCAGATGTCGTGTGACCGCCATTTAATTATCTTAAACTTAAAGGTTTATTTAAAATATAAATGAATATACAATGAAAATACAAAGGAAAACACGTTATGGATCAATTAATTGGGGGGTTACATGACATCTGCACAACTCTTTAAAGTGCAAGCAATAATATGTAATTTCATATATAGGCTTTCACAACCAATATTATTACGATTCTATTTGGGCTAGATCGTGTCGGTATACAGTCACGTAAACAAAATGTTACTCTAACCCTCCACCACCTAGTAGAAACAATCAACTTAATTTGTTTGGATTTGTAAGGTGGTAAAGGTTTACAAACGAAATCAATTATGAATAAGCAATACAATCTCATTTTCTTGGTTCTTTCGGTAAAGTCACGTAGAAGGGAAATAATAAAATAATATTAATATAAAACAATAAAAACAATAACAATAACATTTATATTATTATTTACCGAAAGAACCAAGAATATTAATCCCTGCAGTCACGAAAGCTTTAAAACAATCTCATTTGCTCACTCAAAATATTAATTAGTTATCCCTCTATGTAATAAGATGTTAAATGTGTTGTATAACATCATGCAATAGCGGGTAAAGTATCTACAGAGGGCATTGTTCCACCTGGACCCAGGGCTGCATCTATGATTAAAGCTGTTGTTAAAAGTGTAGTGACAGCGCTCTACGGTGCCATCACATCGATTAGCACAGTTGGCTACGTAAGGCGCGAAATAAGTTCCACATACATTGTGTACCATTTTTTTCACTCCTCATTAACGAAGCTCTGTGTCTATGAAGGAGGCGGAGTGTTTTTGTGGATTGTGTGTTCCTTTAAGATAAAGCTTTGCGCAATAATTCTGTTAGATTTTGGCCTGCCGCTATCATGAATATAGGTATCAACGTTCCCACAATATAGCCTGACAGCCTGTTAGGGCAAGTGCTGTTGGAGAGCACCACTGTTAAGGAGCACTGATGGGGTGGGTGGCCATCACCACGCCTGGCCGCCTTTGTTACTCATGTGCTAATTTGCGTTTGCGTTGACGAAATGCAGATATTCGCCACTGATGGACGTGGGCGACAATCGATATCACGCCACCGAGCCCGTAGTGAACAACGCCAATTACTGCACCACCGCCCCCAATACAGACACACACACACACAGTCACAATAATCATTAGTATATTTGTGGGGAATACAAACAACGGGATAAATGGACAATATTTCAATAAACATGGATCGTTGTTGAAAATTTCAAACAACACGCCAAATTTGGATCTTAACCGAGATGTCTCCAATACATAATTAAAATCTGAAATCAATAGTAATTGTATGCAAAGACACTAGTAGTGCTGCTTGGTGCACATTATTGCAATGGTGTGCTATCTCTCTTTAATAATCGCTGGTGTTAATTTTGATCATATGAGTTTTTACTCTTGGAGTTTATCTTAAATATAATTGTTCATTCATAGGTTTAAGGAGCCGTCGGCAAAGTTGCACAGGATAACGGAAGCTAGCTGTTCACCATTGAACAAAAAACTCAACACATTCGTCAGTAATATTGTCACCTTAAAAAGAAAAAAGGTTATAGTAGGTAACGTTTCGGGTAATGCCCCTTTTTCACAGTACATATGAAAGAAGAGCCATTGCGCGAGACATCGCTGATTGTATCTTACGATTCTTCAACCAAATCGTGACGCTGGTTCCATGTCAGTCTGCGATTCACATTCACTCCAGCGGAAGGCGTGACTGTGCCTGTGGATAGCCTCCTAATGCCGAGGTGGGGCCCGGCTGATATAAATTACTTCTGAGCTGGGTTTTTTTTAAATAGCAGCTCAATAAACGTGCAACGTTGAGCCAACGTTGGCACGTTATTAAAACCTTTGGACCAACGTTGGCTCAACGTTACATGTTTACTGGGGGGTCGGGTGAAGACAACATTCCAGAATAACAGTGGACGTCAACATAATAGGTGCGCAAGCTTTCAGCCGGAACATTCAAGGAACGTTACCATCGGGGATTATGTTGGCTCGTGACATCCACCCCAGTAAAACATGGAACGTTTGACAAACGTTAGGCTAACGGTTCCAACTATGTACCAACGTTGAAACAACGTTGGCACGTTTACTGGGATCTTGCCTAAATGTGTCCTCAGAATTTGAATAAAACGGCTGATAGGTTTATCGGAATATAGGGAACAATAATGGAGGATTATCACGTGGTCTGTTCTCTAGTGGTAGTGCTTTTCAACAATACTCGCTACTCCATGCCAGCCTAGCAATGTTCCGGACAATGTCGAGTGATGAATTAAACTCTGCTTCTAACAAGGTGAGTGGTGTTTCTTCGTTGTATTCTTCTGAAATGGCTACATTCAGCAGCCTCATAATGTGTCTCCGTTTCGTAAAAAATCTAGTGCACAAAAGAGGACCTTGCTGTTGTCAACAAAATTGGGGTTTTGGAATTGTCACTCACTCGACTGATGTGATTTGATTTAAATATAGTGGTTTGTTTTCAACACCAGTTTGGTTTTCTGCCTATTTGATTATAAACACGTGCGGTGGTGTAAACATCTCTATATACCAAGTGTGGAAAATATTTGGTGTTTAAATTTCTCTGAAGTGAAAAATAAAGGCTTAAGATTGCTGAATAATTAAGTGTTGTATTTCAAAGCGCGTGCAAAAAGTATCTAAAGTGTGTGTGTGTGGTGGCACAGCAGTAAGTACACTGCGCTACGACCCCGGCCACCCGAGTTCCAGTCCCGCTTACGGCAAACACCAGTGGTGAATACAGTATATAACCTGGTTGTAGGCCTCCCCTAGGTTTACTCGGCTTCAAATGAGTACCAGGTGTGCTGTGTAAACATCGCCACTTGGGAGACAAAGGTGGCCGGGAGTGGTGCTGGCCACCCATCTTGTGTGTGTTGCTGGCCTTCATCGGTTCTTGCCAACAGTATTTGTCCCTACAGTATGTTGAGGCTATACGGCGGATCTTTGTTAACTCAAATGAGATTTCGTTAAACTCATAACATTTTGGCAGTTTTCGCCTGGCTGGTTGACACAGACTTCACGCAACAATTTGGGGGAAAAATGTGTGCCTTTATCGGTCAAGAGGCGCTCGGGAGCACCCTTGTCCAGAACATAACCATTCAGGAACGCCTCGGTAACGGCAACAGTTGACTGATTTGAGAGCGGCCAGGCCATAGGCCAGCATGAAAAATACTTGACGCCCACCTGTTCCCCCGAGCAGAAGTGGGAAACAGGCCGGGAATATCCAAAGCAACCAGCTCGTTTATGCGCGACACCTGATGGATTGCAGCGGAGGGCAGCAAGGTTTCGCTGGCGGCTTCCGTCGCGCACACTGCACACAACCTTTTAGCAGATTCTCGACATCCATTGCCATGGCCGGCCAATGAAAATTATATGTCAGCGTGGCAATTGTCTTTTGCATGCCCAGGTGCAACAGGCGTCTATGCACAGCCTGCACAACCTCGCCACGCAGGGCGGTGGGAAAGACAATGGCATAACGACGTAATCCCCCGTCCCAATGCATAAGCAGCCTGTCCCGTAGGACAACCGAGGAAACGCCATGCCGATCCGTATCCCCAGCATCCTCCCTGACTCGCCGCCGCAGCCTAAATAGGGACGCATCTTGTGTGTCCAATCAAATGACCATATCACGGGCGGCCAAAACGTCGGCTGACCCACTCATCGCAGTTCCGGCAGATGCAACGAGAAGGGGGGGGGGGAGGTCAACTCGGCTGGTTTACAGCGTCCGGAGCCCTAAAAACATGCACCTTCCACCCCCCCCAAAGAGTCAGCTGCGACAAGGCATCGGCGTACGTATGGCGAGAGCCTTTACGATACCTTACACAGAATGAAAAATCCTGCAAGATCTCAAGTCAGCATGAGAATTGACCAGAAGGCTGGTCCACACGTAGCACATTTTGGAGCGCTGCATGATTGGACCGCACCTCGAAGTGCCTCCCATACAAATAGGGGCGATAATGCTGCACAAAACCACAATGGCCAGCAACTCACGGCGCGTAACGTAGTACCTCTGCTCGGTCAGAGACAGTACCTTACTGCCATACACGACCACGTGCTATACACCGTTAACAACTTGCGACAACACGGCTCCAATGCTGGTATTACTAGCATCCGTATCAAAGACAAATGGTAATGAAAAATCGGGATAACGCAGGGGAGGAGCATTCACCAGCCCTTCACGAATGGCCCGAAACGCGGCCTCCTCCTTCTCTCCCCAATGAAAGTTTTTGCCCCTTAGCCGCCAAAGCATCGTCGTCGAATGCGGCGGGAAGCGCTCTCAGCACCTCCGTCCACCCCCCTAATTCGGTGTTGGTAAGAAAACGTCTCTTGAACGCCATCCATCATCCAGATGAAGCAGATCATCTGGATGTTGATTTGCTTGTCAGTTTTTACGTAGTCTCTCTGTTCACCAAGGTTCCTGTACCTGACACCATAGCAATCATTGAGACCTGGTCCAACAGGGACAGAATCCTGATGTACCAAGTTTAGTGAGGCCCTGCCTTACCAACACTAACTTCACCTGGAATGGTACATTCTGCAAACAAAATGAAGGTATTCCCATGGGTCCCCCCCTATCACCAGTGGTAGTTAATGTGTTCATGGAGAAATTTGAAACAGATGCCATCCTGACATCCACCCTACGTCCTTCCTTGTGGAAGACATGCGTAGATGACACTTTCGTCATTTGGCCACATGGCCAACCAGCACTGAACCAATTTCTCAACCACAGTGGAGAAGGATGGTAAGCTACCATTTCTGGATGTTTTGATTGAGAAGAGGCCTGTCTACAGGAAAGCTACCCACACTGATTCCTATCTGAAGCCTGATTCCCACCACCACCCGGCCCAGAAGAATTCCCTCAAAAAAAACACTACAGTAACTACACCATAGGGCCTGCTGCATCTCCGACCAGCTCCACCTAGCCAATGAACTGGAGCACGTACACCGAGCCCTCAAGATGAATGGATACTCGGACCGCACAATTCGAAAAGCTGTATCCCCAACCATGAAGAGAAAACCTTCTGAGGATCCAATCAAAACCATCACCTTACCGTACATAGCAGGTGTCACCAAAAATATTGCCAAAATCATAAACAAACACAAGATCCAGGTCTGATTCAATACAGTACACAAAATCCATGATCTGATCCCATCTGTGAAGGATGTCATTCCTGGGGTCTACAAACTGAGTTGTACCTGAGGTAGCAGTTACATTGGGGAAACTAAACGACATGTCTCAGACCGGGTTCGCGACCACAAGGCAGATCTGAAACACGGCAGAACCAATACCTCTGCCGTAGCTGACCATTGTTATAATGCTGTGGGCTCGCACTATATTGTTTTTTACGAGACCAAGGTACTCTGCAAACCTTCGGGTTACCTTCAAAGATTTGTACATGAAGCTATCCAGATATACAAACATTGGAAGGACGTGATTAACCAGCGCAGCGACCAGCTCTGCAACCTGGTCTGATTAGTCTTCCTCTCGCAGTGCAGCAGCCAGCTCCGCAGCAGCCAGCATCGCTGCAGTGAGCTCCGCAGCAGCAAGCTCCGCAACAGCGAAACTCCGCAGCAGCAAGCTCCGTAGCATCGAGCTCGGCAACAGCGAACTCCGCAGCAGGAGCATGCTCTACAGCCTGACGCATTAGCACGGCCATCTTTCGGATCGCGAACACGGCTGCTTTTGTCACACATGGACAAGCAACCACCAGCATGACTGCATCGACTGGCTCATCTCTCATTGACTTTAACATGATATTCTCATTAACTTCGCTCATTGACTTTGACATGCTTGTCTCATTAACTTTAACATGCTATTCTTTGTTACACATAGATTGACATTAACTTGCAAAAATTTTCATTAACTGTTACATGCTTCTCTCATTAAAATACATATTCTCTTTCTCTCTCCACCGAGCCTTTCTTATGCTAAGTCCATTTCCTTTAACATACCACGCTATTTATTACCTTTATACTATAATACCCCATTAACACTACTTTGGCTACCTTTGTTCTCAAAACTTATATAAACTTTTGATGGTAACAGCTTCTCTTCACAAAGGAGCAGACATCGTGCTACTCGCAGCAGACATGGCAGCTATCGCGATTTTCACCTTCAAGACGAACGCTTGTGTTGCGTTCGAAACATCATGATATATTTTATTTTATTTCTACCGACGTGACTTTACCGAAAGAACCAAAGAGTATGGATTCCTGCAGTCACGAAAGCTTCAAATGAAGATTGTAAAGTCGTAGTTTTATAAAAATAATTATGCAAATTTCTCACTTTAACATCACTAGCCCCGCCCACTTTATTTATGACTCTTGGGCTACACCCATTTCAAACCTTTAAAACAGCCTGCCTCAGCAGCTTTCCCCCTCTTTTTTCTCCTGATACGATTGCTTGTGTTGTGATCGAAACGTCGTAGTTTTTTGTAAAAAGAAATTTGTTCTACTTAACTTTACCGAAAGACCCAAAGAATATGAATTCCTGCAGTCACGAAAGCTTTTAAGTCAAGATTTAACTGCCTCTACGAGGAGGGTTTCCACACAACTATTATATCTTTCAACAAACTTCGAGACAAGAAGGCCCATCTGATCGAGTCGCTCAAATTTCTGAAGAGATGTCGCGACACTAAGGTAATACCGATCGCCTTTACACTGCCATCTGTTGCTGTCACCTCTCCTAATGCTAAACGGATATTGTTCAGGACCGGCCTAGCCCTGGTCTAAATGTCTCACACTAATACAGCCACCACAGCACATGTCCTCGAGGTGGCGGTGGCTCTGCAATCTTACATGCTAATCTCTCACAATACAATGACCACCTCCGCGCCCTCGTCGTGGAGGTAGCTCTCCGATCTTACATTTACATGCAAATTTCTCACTTTAAAATCACTAGCCCCGCCCACTTCATTTAAGACCCTTGGCTACACCAATTTCAAACCTTTAAAACAGCCTGCCTCAGCAGCTTTCCCTCTCTTTGTCTTCTGATGATGATTGCTTGTATTGTGATCGAAACGTCGTAGTTTTTTTGTGAAAAATGTTCTACTTAATATTTACTGAAAGACCCAAAGAATATGAATTCCTGCAATCACGAAAGCTTAAAGTCAAGATTTAACTGCCTCTACGGGGAGCGTTTTTACACAACTATTAGATCTTTTAACAAACTTCGAGACAAGAAGGCTCATCTGATTGAGTCACTCAAATTTCTGAAGAGATGCCGCGACACTAAGGTAATACCGATCGCCTTTACACTGCCATCTGTTGCTGTCACCTCTCCTAATGCTAAACGGATATTGTTCAGGACCGGCCTAGCCCTGGTCTAAATGTCTCACACTAACACAGCCACCACCGCTCATGTCCTCGAGGTGGCGGTGGCTCTGCAATCTTACATTGACATGCTAATCTCTCACAATACAATGGCCACCTCCGCGCCCTCGTCGTGGAGGTAGCTCTCCGATCTTACATTTACATGCAAATTTCTCTCTTTAAAATCACTAGCCCCGCCCACTTCATTCATGACCCTTGGCTACACCAATTTCAAACCTTTAAAACAGCCTGCCTCAGCAGATTTCCCCCTCTTTTGTCTTCTG